AACAATTATACGTCAAATGAACATTGCAGCATTATGCTAGAGAACGATTGTATGTTATTGAATACTAATGATAAACTAAAACATTGAAACAATTTCGCGCCTCTGCAAAATGACTGATTAACACTGAAGACAGGGAAAAAAAAATAAAACAACAACAACTGCAACAAAACAGAATAGATAAAAAATAATAATAATCGTGCTCACCGTTGGATAAGGAAATCTTCCTAAGGCCATCTGCAATAGAAATGCACAAAAGACTTTATTTCAACCAGTAGATTTAAAATCAAGTGGAGTAGAAAGAGCCATCAAAGAAAATTTTGCTTTTAAATCATCCTCCGCTACACTACACTAGATAAGCCATGCATGAAACTATTGAACTATCGGTAGATTTGGTTGATTTAGCATTGGAAAAAGGCGTTAATCAGGTAAAAACAGCATGCTTTTTAGTTTTAATGCCCTTATCTGGTATAGGTGCATTGGCGTCACGTTTAACTGATCAAACTCTTTGCAAGACGTTATTTTATGACGACGCTTAACATTACCTACTATCTACAGTAGAACCCCGGTAACTCGAACTCTGAAGGGAAATGAAAAAGAGTTCGAGTTAGCGGGGATTCGAGTTATCGGGGTCGATTGAATTTTCAATTTGCCATGTTAATAATTGATAGTTCGCTAATATTTCAGCACTTCTCTATACAGTAGAGTGTAAATAAGTATCTCCATTCAGAAACTGTAACACGACTATGCATTTTTATGCTAATACTAGGAAATGGCTGTCAAATACGTGATCTGTTCGTTGTACTTATCAAGTTAAAAACAAATTGCTGTAGTGTTAGTCAGATTACAGAACAAGAGGAGCTAATGGGATGGCATTCGTAGTCAGTTGTAAGAACCAGAATTCGCGCCGAGCTATCGAGTTAAATTTGATCAAGGGAGACGAACGCTCGAGTTAGCGGGAATTCGAGCTATCTAAGTACAAATCCAAGGGAAATAGGACTTTCTTGGAGTTAGCCTAGGATGACCCGAACAGATACAAATTTTGCAGCGTCGCTTAGAATGCATTTTTAGAGATCTAAAAGTACGCTGGATAGCTAGCGTAAAAAGCGTTTTCAGTGCATTTATGGAGAAACCGTCCTTGGGTACCCCTGTTTATGGTGGGACATGATTAGCAGTCTTCCTGTGCACTGAGATTCACGTGCCCTGAAGTTTATCTGACACTCCCTTTCGGCTGAAAATATCTCTACCTTTTTAATTCCTGTGGAGTGGACACGCCTCTGTTAGTTGCTTTTGTCCTTTAAAGGGACATCCTCTTCTTGAGATCCTGGATACACTCCTGTTTTGCTAAATAGTAGTACTCTAAAATATCATGTGACCAGAATTGTTCACGGCTTTGGTACAAACTACAGTCGATCCTCCACTAACGGTCACCTCTCTACAGCGACCACTATTTTTTTGTCCCGGCGGACAGTCCATACATTGACTTTTATTTAAACTTCTCTACAACAGCAACGGCCTCTAAACTGCGTCCCCAACTGTCAAAATAACCTGTCGACCACGGCCAATTTTTTCAGCGACTGACAAAAAAGTCAGGAATGGTCGCGAAATTTGATCCTTATGGCGCGTTGGTGTTTAATCCCGGAGATCTCATTTTGATTATGTTCCATTTATTCTGATGCAGAAAGCAATGTTGCGAGCCTTACTGGTTTTGTCATAGCCTGCGAAAACATCCGTTTCTCCACGCTCTTCGCCGCTGGGGACGTTTCGCGCAGAGGAACGTCTGCGACTCAGCGACAGAAATTCCATAATGATGACGTAAAATATGTCCAGAATCAGGTCAGAAGCCCTGATTGGTCGACGGAGTAGTTAAATTGTTTTAGCTATTGTTTACGAATGACAGACAAAAGACAAAAGGCCACAAAGGTCAAATGTAAACGCGATGAATCTCTAACAAAACAGTCAATATTTGTGGAATATAGTCTTCTCTAGAACAAGCGTTTGAGGTTTGCTGGAGCTCGTTCGCAGATGAACACAACACTTTACCAAAATCGACCAGGAGAAGCCTAAAATTGAATAAATATACATTTGGAACCCCATGACTACCGGATTTATTAAGTAAACATTGATTTGCGTCATCAGTATGGAATTTCTGTCGCTGAGTCGCAGACGTTCCTCCCCGCGAAACGTCCCCAGCGGCGAAGAGCGAGGAGAAACGGATGTTTTAGCAGGCTAGTTTTGTCATGTAAGCATTTTGATTCAATACATTATTTAATATTTTTGTTTTGTGTTTTTTTTTTCTGTATATATAACATATATACCGTTTATGATTGGATTACTATTATTGTCTAAAGTAGGCATGAACTTGGCACAATAAACTTCTTCTACTCCCATAAAAAAATGGTCATATTACACGCTTACCTCACCATAACGGCCACTTTCTTCCATCCCCAAGGTGGCCGTTGTTGAGAGGTTCGACTGTATTGCTCGTTCTTTGTTATGCAATTTGATCACAAATTCAAATGGCGGGGGAGAGGGGGGGGGGGGGGGGGGGGGGGTGGACCCCCCCCCGGGGTTTTTGTTATGGTTTGTTTTTTTTGAATGCTTTTTCTTTTTTGGGAAAAGCTTTTTTTTTTTTTATAAGTGGGGGTTATTTTTTGGGGGGGGGGGGCGCCCGGGGAGAATGGTATATTTTTTTTTTGTATTATAAAAAATACATCTGTGTCGTGTGTGTGTTCGTTTGTGTGTGTGTCGTGCGGCTGGTGTGGTGGCTGGGGTGGGTGGGGTTGATGGGGCTGTTGGTGTGTTTTTTTTGTTTGGTGTTTGGGTGAGTAGTGGTGGAGGAGGGGGGGGGGGGGGGGGGGGGGGGGGGGGGGGGGGTGGATGGAACTCCTCCCTGGCGTTTTTGATATGTTGCAGTATTTTGAAACGCTTTTACATTTAGTGGAAAGCCTTTGATCTTCTTAACGAGATGAGGTATATTTTAGGGGTGGTGGCGCTGCCGTGAGAAATGGTAATTTTTTGTGCTTTACATGAAAAATAACCCATAAATAAGCACTTTGCATGATTTTAGCCACAAGATTTACTTTTATTGTTGAAAGAAATTGAAAAAACGTGTATTTTCACCCAAAATTGCCTTGACCACCTGCTACTTATGTCGTCATATCTCGTAACGATAGCAACTGACCATCACTAAACTTGTCTCAAAATGTGCGCGAGGGATGAACAAACAGCTACTGAAAACGTCAGGTACTGATGTTTTATCCTCTAAGAAAAAACTCAGAAAAATCTTATGGGGGTGGGGAGGGGGTGGCATCCTCACCCCCTTCTGAGGGTTAAAGGATCCTCGAAAGAAACCAGCACTGATTATTGTTGGTAAAACAGATTGCTAGAAAACTAGAAAACTAGATACCACTACCCTACATGTTCTGGGCCCTCCTTTACGCTAGTACGATTTTACGAGGTGCCTCCCCCTCTGGTTTTACAGCTTCGGCTCCTTATAATTACTGCACAGTGCCGCACTAATAGGCTATAACTAAAAGGCTGTAAAATTTATGTACAAAGTAACATTAAAAACTAGAGTATTAAAGATGTAAATCAATATAATGCTAAAAAAATACAGAAGCCGACAATGCTAGTAGTAACGTTATAATTACATTCGTATTATGAACTCAATCCAGCATAGCACCAATATCAAAGAGAATGCTTTCTGAGCGACTTTGAAAGAAGTCAGAAGAATACTAACTTGAACTTGCACAACAATATGCTACAACATTCTTACCAGAATAGAACTGTATGAGCTTTAAAAAGGTCAAAGCCTTAAAGGAAATCATTTTGTTCCACCAAAGTCAAGCGCTGAATTCCAGACTTGCAATTCTTCTGTCAAATATAAGAGATACGTGTATATAATCTATAATACATTTATTAGTTTTTCATGGGATCAGGAGCTTCAATGGATATTTTCCCTTTTCAGGTGTAGAAAACTAGCTAAGCGTGTTCAGAAAATTTGCAGATAAAACCCCGGTCTTACTTCGAATACACAGGTGAATACAGCCTACAAACGGAGCGAACGTTGGGTTGAATATTTTATGATTTCTTGTTTATCTAGAAAATGAATGAGGAGGCAAATTTGCATAGGTCTGAGTGTCTCAATCAATATTTTCATATCCAAAGGAGAGCAAAAAGGCGAAGCATATGACATGAACAGTGATTTTCAAGGACAGATTCTAAACATGATAAAGGGCCTGTCAACTGTTATATTTTTACTCGAATTTATCCAATTTACCTCCTCTTTCTGGGGTTTATATTGTCGCTGATAGTATACATTCATTGATACATTAGCATTGTTGTTTTTAAACGGCAAACTCTGTTTCTTAACTTGAGGTGGTTACAACCGTTGTCTCAGCCTTTCCAAGGTTGACAGTGACAAATTTATTGCTAATGATAGTAAGAAAACTGTGACACTGATCACCCATCGCTATTAAAACACTGAAAAAGCGCTCCTAAATGGCCACTTATAGCGAGTAATAACTATGTTGAAAGCTTTTCCGGGTGCGCCCGATCATTAAGCAGACAGGTTTTGTGTTTAATGGTGATTGACTTGACAGGCGGTCGACAGGTTTCTCCTTCGCTCTTAATAAGCTTAACTTCTTTCAGTTTCAAACAAACATGACTTTGACATGATTTCGTTGCTATTAACTGACCAGATAGCCCGGATCTTCTTAATGAGCTCCGCAGTGTTGCAGTGTCCATGCATGGCTTCAGGCCAATGCCTATTATATTCCCGTAAGAAAGTAGTAAAGGCCGGTGCATTTTAAACAAAAAAGGAAATTAAGGGAAAATTACTTACTGCGCGATAAAATTGTTAAGTGCTGTTGTCATCTGCCCAGTATCAGTATCTCAGAAAATCTTCGCAAATCTCTCAGGGGAACTGGCCTGCAATGCCAGAGGGAGCAGATCAAACTTTAAAATAGCCCAGAAATACCATATGCAAATTAGATCTCTGC